TTTACTATTTACTATTTACTATTTATCATTTAACATTTAACATTTACTATTTACTATTTTACCATTTATGGTACATTTACTATTTACTATTTACTATTCTACATTTTCTTATTCACTATTTACTATTTAGTATTCACTAGTTTTAAAAAATTAAAGGTAAAATGTCCCAGTGACCCTCAAACTATTACAAAATTAACTTTTTGACACTCTGACTATTAACTGATAAGTTTTACCCCTTCAATTAATTAAAACAAATAATTTTGGCCCTTCTGTTAGCTTGAGCTGCTATGTTTAACAAAAATAACATGACATGCACAGTAATGGCCCTCAAACTCTTGTAAAGTTGAACTTTTGACCCTTTAATTATTAACTGATAAATTTTATCCCTCCAACTAACTAAAATATATAATGCTAACAGTTCCATCAATTTGAATCGTTATGTCGAACAAAAACATCACCACGTGTGCAGTAAGGGTAAAATCGAGAGGTGTTTTCGTCTTCATAGGATATGTTAGGGTAAAATTGTTTTACCCCTATTTGACTCATAAACTAATTTATCAAATCTCCAATTGCTGAACTTGACCAAAATCAATTGAAAATCTAAAACCCAAAATCCCGAATAGAGAAATTCCAACGAGGATAGGTAACTTGAATTAATTGAATTGTTTTCATTTGGAATTTTATTCATTTTTCAGCATTGTTCCAAATTCACGTGGTTTATGTGCTTCTCTTAATGACATAAATCTAGCATACAATTCATTTTTTAGGAATATTGCAACAAGTCTTGGTTCTTCCAAGTTTGAACTCTTTAATTCTCTCAAATATTCAATTCTCTAATGAGATTCCTCTAAACTTTACATTATTATATCTAAATCTTTTTGATTTGTCAAACACTCGATTGAGCACATCCCTAATTCTTTATCAATAGATATTTCTATTCGATATAACGACTCAAGTTGACGAAAAAGATAGAATTATACGTTTTAGTTAGTTACAGAGTTAGAACTCATTAGTTAATAATTGAAAGGTCAAATGTTGAACTTTGTAATAGTTTGAGGGTCACTAGCATCTCATGAATCCTTAAATATAACGACTCAAACTGATAGAATGACTAGAATTATATGTCTTAATTAGTTGAAGGGTAAAAACTTATTAGTTAATAGTTCGAGAGGCAAAATGTGAATTTCGTAATAGTTTGATGGTCATTAGGGCATTTTGTCCAAAAGTTAATCATATACGGACTAATGACTTAGGACTACTGACTATCAAATTGATCTAAAAATTATAACCTACAAAGGACCACTGACTATCAGGAAATAAACAATAAATAATTATCTAAAAAATAAACAAATTAAATAGTCTTCCAAAATACAAATTACCCATTTAATCTAAAAACAAACAGTAAATAATCATCTACTAAGAACTACTGACTATCAAATTGAATAAACAAAAAGCAGCATAATATGTATAGCTTAAAATAATTGCAAATATTATAAAACAATTACTAATAAAACTTTTAAATAAACTAACCTTTATAACAACAGACAGTACTATTCTGCATTTCGTCAAAAAACCTTTTTCCGATCCACCACCCTTTTCATCACTCGAACGACAATGCCACTCGATTCATCACTTTTTTCAATCTAGGCCATCACCGGAACGACAATGCCATTCGATCCACCACCTTTTTCGATCTAGAGGATAATGACAGATAGTCTTCCTGCAGAACAATGGCTAGTTTGAGAAGATAAAGAAGAAGATGAGGGGGATTTGGATTTGGGGTTGTGCGAGAGAGAAATAGAAATGTTAGTTTGAAGTTAGGGTTCTCACTTGAGTGAACAAGGGCTCGACATGATACAATAATTGTAACAAATCTGCAATGTTACTTTGACTGAAAATTTTTTTTGACCGAAGCTGGCCCTGTTGATCTCTTGTATGAACAGTCTAGAACTACTGCACTTTAAAAAATATTTTTCTATCGCGGCGAATCGAATTTGTGGCAAATGAAAAAAACCTGTGAGCTACAACAGTTGATCAAGTCATGATCAAAGGTCCGAAAATTAATGCCGCAAATGTTCTTTGCGGTTTCAAAAAAAAAAAAATTCAGTTCTCCGCATATGTAATTTGCGACGATTGTGGACCATTGATCAAGTGGATCAACGGTCCACAAAATTTCGCATGTGTGGAATAAAAAAAAAATTTACAATGCCACAAATCAAGTTTGCGACGATGTGTTGACCGTTGATTCACTTGATCAACAATCCACAAATTTCGCTTGTGCGGAATAAAAAAATTATTCATATCACAGCAAATTTAATTTGCGCCGATTTGTGGACCATTGATCAAGTGGATCAACGGTCCACAAATTTCACTATGTGCAGCATTAAAAAATTAAAAATTTTTGTGTGCAACAACAGGATTTAAAATATTTTTTTTCTTCACCATCAAATCATGACCGTTGACATATATATTAATCAACGGTCCATCTGCAACTAAAATAAAAAATTTTACCAAAAATCTTAACTTAAAAAATTCTTAAGTAGTTGAAAATAAATGCAAAATTACATCGGATTTTTGTTTGCACCTGTATTTCCACCTGCGTCAACCCTTATATTATCCACATATCCTACATAATACCATTTTTGTGATAATTTTTTATTTTAACATTATTCCAAGAAATTCACTGTTGCTAACCATGTGTCCACTGCTTTTTTTTTTTTTGTCATTTTAATCCCCAAAATATTCAAATGTGTCTAAAATTAAGAAAATAAATGGAAGAATTTACATTGAACAAAGATAAACGTTTACTCTAGTATTGTTTAGTGAAATTTTAAGTACTCAATTTGGTATACCAAAAGATCGAGAAAAGTTAACTAAAGCGTGTTGGATACCAGGTGAACTTGTTGATAAGTATTTTATGATCTAGACAGTGAATAGCAATCTAAGCGGTTTATGTGGTCTGTTTCGCTGCTGGAGAAAAACGTTGGTAAAAGACAATTATCACCTGTAGTGAGAGGGGAGCTTGTTGAAATGGCATTACTGGGGCAGTATAGCGAACACCAATGTACATAAGTGAAATGAGAGATTGTTGATAATTTACAAATTACGGGGGTTCTATTTTCTATCATAATTAAGTTGATTGCCTACTAATTTCATTATTGGAGGGACAAATCCACGCTTTCCCATGCTAAATGATTTACCTCAAGCACTGGTAGGCCATTCAAGCCTTATCGTTTAGTAGTTTTAGTTGTAACATTTTGCAAATTAGTTTATCCTTTCAGAAGTTTTAAAAATCTTGCTTATCCTCCCTTGAGGTTTATCCTAATATTACCTAACACATTCGAAATTTTCAGAAATCTCATTTATCTCCCCTATCAATATAGTGTGTTAAGATGTTCCTTCCTCTCCTCCTCTTCCCCCTCCCTCCTCCTCTATTCCTACAATCCTACCCCTCCCTTCTCCTCTCTGATCATGGAAAGATTTGGTCATGAAAAGGACACGCAGGGAGAAAGAAGGGAAACTAAAGCAGAGGGTGGAGGAGGGGTTGGTGTTGGAGGTTGACAGTGGCGGGTGTGGTACTACTTTTTATTAGTTATTTTTTAGCACTTTTGTTACGTGTATTTTAGATGTATTTGGAGTGTTTTGAGATATATTTTTTTAATTATATTTGAAAAGCTTACTTGTCCAGTTATGCACCCTCTTCAGTGTGAACCAATCCAATAACAGCAAAAATGTGGATGAGTCCGGCGAGAAATTTACGCAGGCAAATCCTGGAGATGAGTTATTGCTTCACAAAACAGTTTCCATTGGGTACACAAAGGTCATTGGGAACACAAGCATCAGTTTCCATTTGCACAACAAACGTTTTAATTTCCTTTTGCGCTCCAGCTTCACAGAGGCCATATCATCACGTTCTACACCACAACATCAAGACAGAATCATTTTATTTGGAAGACTTGCAGAATTGCTATCCAGGGGGTTCTCGGGAGCAACCTTTAGAGCCATATCAAGCAGGGTAGAATTCTTTAATTGCAGTTTTGGTCCCTAATTTATAATTCATACACGAAACTAGTCTCCAATCTATTGATAAAAGTAAATATAGTCCTCAATCTATCCAATTTTGCGCAAAATTGAGCAATTGAGAGATTCCTTTCAATTTTTTAATGGAATCATGGCATGTGCAGTCACATGACTGACACTTAAAAGCTTTTCCTCTTTTTTTTTTTTTAATTAGAAAAACCATCCGAAACTTAACTAGTCCATTTTTCTTTTTAACTCTTGTTTATTAGTGAGACTAAAATACACTAACATCTGGAAAAGCCAAGATTACTCAATATTTGTTGTTTATTAGTGAGGTTAAAACACACTAACATCTGGAAAAGCCAAGATTAGTCAATAAACCCAAAAAAATGAGAAGGTTTTTCTATTCCTTAATTAGGGCAGAAATCTATACCCATCAAAGCAAGAATTGAACTCATGGTACCAGAAAAATTTTGCAAGTGTGATGAACCAGCAAAAATGATTACATCATGGACAAGCAACAACCTTGGGACTTGGGAGAAGGTGCTTCTCTTGTGCCTTCAACATATGGATTTTTTTTCTTTGTATTTGTGGTTATGAAGTTTAATTTTGTATTTATTCCTGATTTAATTCTCTGTTGGGCAACAGAGGCGGCGGTGGTAAAGACTGCAACTATTTTGAGTGGCATGATTCAATCATATTTTAAGTGCTCTACATCATGTGTACTACAATAATGGTTTCAAACCATCCAAGGGCATGTAACTAATTACAACTAATGAAACCATCATATTGATCCATACATGGGATAGACAAGCGCTAGCTTAAACTTTGCCTTTAGTATGACGAATGTGTAAAAATTTTGCCCGCTAGCAGGCCTATATTAAGGCCTCACAAAGTTTTACACAGTTGATTTATATCAGTTGTTTAATGGCACTTTTTTTTTCAAAAAAAAAAGTGCATTACATTAAACAGAAAGCGGGGAAAAAAAGGATCAAATATTATGCTTCAAATACATAACCACCAAGGTTCAAAGGCGAATGCTTACATAGAATGAAGCAAAAAGAACCAGCTATTAGCATGAATTTACAGTCGTTTCCCTCATCTAGATGAAAGCTGGTCTTACAAGGATTCACGATTTCTCTAGAAATGAAAAGCAATCCATGCAGAAGGGTGATTCAGTCGTAGTCTCCTTCGCTGGGTGAATGATCTGTATCGGTCTCAGCTTCCCTTATTACTTCCTGCAAATAAATAGCTTTGGTCTCTCCCAACAACTTGTATTCACTGCATCTAGAGCATACCAACATGTAAGCCACATGAGTGTTACCCTCGAGAGATAAAATCACACCATTTTATGGCTCCAGAAAGGAAGAGAAATTGTTCATCAAGCAGCTCGTTTTGTTCACTTTCCTTTAAATTGTATTTGGAAAAATAGTTATGGTTTTTCTATTGCTCGTACTTAAATAAACGCCTCCTAGATAATATGAAGCAAAAACTACCATACATGTAATGGCTTTAGCTAAGAAGATCTAACTAAACAGTAACAAGTAAGCTGCTACTTCAGGCAAGTACATCGTTCTGAGGAACAAGAAATTAAGGTTACAACACATTTGAAGTAATGTATATTCAAGAGTACCTCTCCAAAACTGAAGGAATCATATACTAAAACCGTATGCAAAGGATGAGTCACCTTCAAGCAAGCTTGACTCATAGCCTCTAAAGAATCAATTTCTTATCCCTCCCAAAACACCTAGTCTTGAATTCCTTAGAAAAGCTAATTAAAAAGACATCTAACGTACTTGCAGGTAACAGACAATGATAACATGTTAGTATAGTCACTTATATGTTGTCTCTCATTAGTCTTCTTTGGCTTGCGGATACCCAGAGACCATGATATTAGATGGCTGCATATTTGTCTTGAAAGCGAGCTTTATGATCAGATGCCTATGGCAAATCCATAATCCAGAAGAAAGAAACCAGAATTGGTTTCTAGTCTCAACACCTTCTGAATTTGACTTGACATGTAACAAGTTTGAAGAAAAAAATGTGTTAATTGACATGAAAATCAATATTTCATCATGTAATCTCATTTAGTTTAGCTATTTAGCATTATTCAAACAGCAATTTTTTCTGGTATTCTCAATAGTGCTTGATGTGTAACTTGGTCCGCATAGAATGAAGATGCATGAATATTAAGTGGACAAGTTCATCATCACATTCTTCCACCCTATAGACATACTGTAATGCCTCTCTCTCTCTCTCTCATGCACAGATATCACACCATGATTTTATGGCTCCTGAGATTATATTAATAAAAGTCGGCAAAATTCGTCCAAAAGCAGAGTTGCGTAGTTTTTGAAAGAAACTTAACTTTAAAATCTTAAATAGGGGGAGAGGCTTAAAACCTGGAAATCAGATGTTCCACCAGAAACATGCAAGACCATGAAATCAATATGTACTTTATTTTCATTATTGACCATCCTGGTTAATAGAAAAGTGCATCTAACCATATTTCAAATGAAAATCTACTGATACCTAACTGGAAACCCAAAAATAACAACACCAAAGAAAAGTTCAATCACTTTGGACAGTAAAAGACTGGAAAAAGCAAACCACGTACCTTAAATTAATATTCAGTATCTCCATACCATCTCCATTCAAAACATCCTTGAGAGAAATGAGACTTGGAACATGAGCAATCGCTTCATATTTTGTTTTGACATCAAGAATTCTGAAATACTTCCACCTGCCATAATTTTCAGGTTGGTAATATATAAAGGCACTCTTAGGGGACAGAAACATCAGCAACCCTTTGTTTTCTTCAAAACTGATCGGCTGGTACACACAATAAGGCCACCTTTCAACGCAAAGGGAATAAGTTGACACAATTTTCGTCCACGTTTTTGGTTCACCATACTTCTTCATCACCCATATGTCGAGTGAATCATAGCCTGACCAAGTACACAAACATAGGCTACCTCTTAATACTCCCAAGCTTGTGTTACACTGATTATTCCATCGAATGATGGGATCAAAATAATCACCAAGAGGAGGAAGCTGAACTGACTTGAACTCCTCTCTGCCAAGGTCAAAACAATATATCAAAATACGTTTGCCGAAATCAAGGGAAATCCAATGAAGAAATCCATTCAGATATGTAGTAAATTTCAGTTTGCTGTGATAGTATGGAGCATAACCGATTCTTCTCCAAGTCCCAGTGCCAAGTGTGTGTACCTCGACCAACGTTTTCTTGTAACTCTTTTCCCCTGTAATTGGGCATCTATACACGGATTCAAAATATCCTTGGTCAATCATTTTAACAACTTTATATCGATTAGTCTCCTCACAAAGGCCAAATCCACAAGACACCATATCTTTCTCGGTATTGTTATCAGATTCATCTGTTCCTGGAAGGTTTAAATACTCACCTGTGACTGGATTGCACACAACAAGTGGGTTGTTGCTTGAAGGTTCTGACAAACAGACAAATCCTTTACAGGAATTGACGATCTGGAACTTATGCTCTTTTGGTCTCACTTTTACACAACGCTTCTTAAAACCACGCTCACTACTAAGACGGGATTTGGTATCACTGACATTATGTGGCTGTGGCATTTGTTCAGCATTGCGCAAAGGAATCTTCAACTTGGTATCCAGTTTCAAATAAAAATCCCGACCATAATTAAGCCTTAGATGCTTTGCAAAACGAGAATCAGAAAATGAATCGTAGTTGTCAACGTCAGATGGCTCAATTAGGTGAAGCATTCTTGCAACTCGTGCGTTACCCAAGGTCCGGACTAGAGGACAGGGCTGTGCAAGTTCAAAATGCATCTTAGCAAATTGAGGGTCTGAAATTACCCGACGCCAAGGTTTGCAAACACATTTGCACATGATAATTGCCCTAATGGGCAGTCTTAGCACAATATTCTTGAAGATAGGCTCAGGTACATCCGTGATAGAGGTACCGAAATGTGCAACCTCTTCAGATGCTTCTCTTTTTCCTTTACAACCTGCTCTGAGTGCTTTTGAGTTTCTTTTTCTCTTCATCATTCCTCAACCAACCGAGGTGATCTGGGGTGAAAAAGGGGAGGAAGAACCATGAAGCATAAAAAAGTAACGAATAGTGCAGATTTAGTCACACCATATTGCAAATATTGGCCGGGCATTTACCGAAATCATCAAATAAAAGGAGCAACAATAATTTCAAGTCAATAGAAGCCTTTTAACATTTCAAGAAATACAAAAATGACTAAACAAGCCAAGTTTAACTCACCATTCTGTAGTATTTCTAACTTCTCTTAATATCATTTTCTTGTTATGGCTTTCCTGGGATTTCAACACATCCCTTATAATTACCTAATGCCACGTTAATTTTTAACTTTGTCTTAATACCATCTTCTTGCTATGGCTTTCATGGGATATCAAGATATCCCTCATGAGTATCGAATGCCACATCACTTTTCTTCTTTCCTTCTATCAATTCCCAATTGAGACCTTTTCATATATACCCTCAATTTTGAATAACTTCATCCTCACATAAATCAATAACTGAACAGAACCGTATTCAAGACTATGAATATGTAATAGAAACACGAGAGAGAGAGAGAGAGAGATGTACCTGAGTATCAGAGTGGAGAGTGGAAAACAGGAGCAATAGTAAAGGTAGAATGTAATTTGAAGTATTTAAGAAATGGATTAAAAGTTTACACAAAAGGGCGGGAACACGAAAATCTGAGCGGGAGACGCTGGTTCCACCTAAACATGTGGATTTGGAAAAAGTAGTAATTTTTTTGGCCGAGTCCTAAAACCTTGTAAAAGAAGTCCAGTTTGGATAAGTTTTGGATCATATTCCATATTCAAATTCAGGCCCAAATAAATAAATCTACCTATTATATAAGAAGAAAGTGGAGTTACTATAGCAACTCCAATGATTGCCAAGTGGATTCCTCTCATTTTGACACATGGCCCATTTCTTTTCTTTTCTTTTCTTCATTTTGCTTTGTTTTTTCTTTTGTTCACTTTATTTTCTCTCTCCTTTTTTATTAAAGATAATTAAACAAATCCTCATGTACATTGCAGGTTTGTTATTTAGTTTTCACTTTGCACTCCATTTTTTTCCCCTATGATCCTAATTAATCATTTATTCTATTTTTTTCTCTATTGGATTAGTTAATGCATTTTCTTTCATTTTTGTCCATAATTAACTAAATGAATGATTTCATTATCGAAGATCAAGAATGAGTTTGATATTTCCTTTCTTCCATAGTCCAATAATTATGATTCATGATCTTCTACTTTTAATGTCTCTTTTTGGTATATACTATTTGATATTTTTTTTGTCATTTTTTGTGTCTTGATCAGCAACCTTTGCTTATTGCTTTTCTCACCTATTTCTTCTTCATCTGACTTTCTTTTCTGTCCAAAATAGGTATGTGATGCTGTGAATATTTTTCCCCAAATCTAAAGAACCTTTTTTTTAGTTTTTTATATTTTATTTATTCTGAAACTACTTTTTGATCTTTTTATTTTTGGAAAAGGTTGACAACAAGACGGGTGGTGATTACATGAAGAATTTTTAGGCTAACAATGAAAGAATTGTAACTACTTTTCCCTCATAAAATAAAATAAATAACACCATTAGGCAGATTCATTCTAATTCTAATTTTTTATTTATTAAAATTGTTATTTGATAATAGGGTGATAGTACTACATTAGAGAAGAAAAAATCTAATAAATGAAAATCCAAGGTAAATGATGATCAGGAAGAAAAAAAATGATGCCTATTAAATTAAAAATTAACCAAAATCTCTTAATTTATGGATATGTAATTATATTTTAATTTATATAAAGTTTATTAATTGTGAAAAGTGCTTATAAACTAGATAAGATGGATGACGGGTAAAATAATTGTTGGGGCTAGCAATTTAGAATGTGAAGATAATATTTTATATCTCTTCATTCAACATTTTGAATGACTAGCTTGTATCCATAATAGGTAGTTTATTTTCATGGTTTCAATTTTAGCAAATGATAGCTTGGAAATAAAAGAATTGCAAAATTAGATTTCAGAATCTTTTACTTAAACTGGTTCTATATGACTTTGTACTCTTATCCCTTTCTATTGCCCATAATGATAGATAATGTAATTAAGGTTTGAGATGATTGTTAGGCATAGAACTGGACATATCATTACTATTTGGCTAAAGAAGTTAATAATATTTTGTCAATTTGACTAGCTAAAACAATTGCAGTTTTCAAAGGAATGCATTTGGTGGGAAGTTAGTATTGAGGCTTTTAGCTTAGAGTGTCACTCTACAAAATATTATTAGAAAATTCTATTTTGATTAAGAAGACATATTTGCAATCAAACAAATTGTTGGATTTGAATTTGCATATGTGGATTTACAAATATGGCAATTCATGTTTTTATTTAAACTTGCTATACGTATTCTATAACTATTTGGTTAGATAATGTTTTCATCTATTTGTAATGCTATTAGACATATGATTTAAATGGATAGATTAACTCGCTCTTTCTCTCAAAAAAGAAAGAAAAATATGCAAGTTTGTATTTTTTTTTTATTGATGTTGAAGATAGTGACAGGTTTTTGTGGCTTTCTATATTTTTTCTAATTATTAAAATGTTAGAAACATTATGACTACTCTTTATTTAATTACAACTAAAACTATGCTGCTATTAAACCGATAATGCACTCATAATGGATTTGCTTTCTTTTTTTTTTTGGTATCATTACGTACACATAATATTAGTTAAAAATTCTTTTTCCAAATCACAATAAATTGGGTTTAACTTTATAAATGAAATTTCTTTTCACAGCAAATTTTAATTATTTTTATACTTAATTTTTTTCCTATATTTCTATTCATTATGTACTAAAGCATTTGTTACTATGTATTTATCTGATGTTCTTGAGGGCCCTGGCTGTGCGTTGCACAGCCGAGGTACCTCTAGTATATATATATATATATATATATATATATAGGACTATTTAGGATTGCAATAGTTTATTGAATAATACTTTTTTAATAGGATTTTTAATAAAATTATTTATTAAATGCTTAAATATTTTTAAATATATTGTTTGAAGATATAGTTCAAAAAGCACCCAACTCTGAACGGGGCTTAGCATGCGCGGAAATGTAACTTTGGTCTCTAACATTTGACGTATGTGCAAGACTGGTTCTTAATATTTTGGTTAAAACAAATCCGCCTCCAAAATTTCTAAACAAATATCAAACAACTAATGGAAAATCACAACAGCCAACAATCCAAATCAAATGGGAGTTAGTCAAAAGTTGCGACTTTGCCTTTTTTTTGTCCATAATGTTTTAAGTTCTGCCTATATGGTCCCTTAAATTTTAAATAGTTATAATTAGCATTTTGAGATTAAGTGAAAGGTGATTTAATTAATTAATTAATTATATGATAAATGTATTCCTAGATCTCTATAAATTTTCACAAAAATTCTTTATATCAGCACAACATTTTCATAATCATTCAACCTGAAGAGTATCTCTTCATTACATAAGTTACAATTAGATAAGAATACACATGACATATAGAATAAAACTTTGGGAGTTATAGTCTTAATATGTGTCTTTGTTAATTACAACTACACAAATTCTTGCATGATTAGTGGACGTAAGCTTCAAATAGTTGTAACTTGGCTTGCGTAATGCACATGGTTTCATGAATTGACCAAAATATCCTTTCTATGCTGTATAAAATTTCACAAAAAATTTTTGAACAAACTTTTGAAGTAATAAGATAAATCAAGATGTACTGTCAATATTACACTCATGTTGTAAAAACTTTTGAACTTGCAGAATATAAAATACAATGTACTTAACAATTATATATTTTTAATACATTTCCAATTATAACAAAGATACCACAAATAGTAGCCATAAGCTAGTATATAATAAACATACACAATTGTGATTAATCAAAAGCTACAAAAAAAACTAGAATTTTTTAGTAATGTGGGAATAGATAGATTTTTGAGAAAAAAATTTACCATTAAAATTTAATGCAATGATCATTAACCAAAAGTTGCGAAATATTAGAATTTTTAGCAATATGGGGAATAACTAGATTTTTTTTTTTTGGAAAATTTTTCATGGAAAATTTTTGGTATTCAGGAACTTTGGGGCAATTTAGTCAATTCACAATTCTGTATGTGTTGTTCTTGCTAAATTCAACTTGAAATTGGACTATCCTACTCAATTGTACATGATTTGAAAATCATAATAGATCAAAATCATTCAATTAATCAGTCAGGGGGCAATTTGGGAAAGAAGCATTTTTTGAGAGGATTTATGGAATTTACCTTCATTTAATATCCATGGTTTTTTTTTATATTACACAAATGTCCTCAGCCTTTTTTTATTTGAGGAATATCAAAATTCTATATCAGCCCCCAAGCTCAGCTGGGATTGCTAATGCATTGTGTATCTTGGAGTACTTTGGTTCAATTGTGGCATACTACAAACAGTTTAGCACCAATTACGCAGTCATTGTATATGGGCTGTTGACAATAAATAAGCAAAGTAATTGAAGGTATATAACTAACCTTAAACCTGCAAATTTAATCTAAATGGTTGATGTACTATTCCAATAGTTGTTTAAGATCATTTAAGTACCAATGAACCTCCTATACAAGCTAGCATAAAGGGTTAAAGGTGGTAGAATAGCACAATAGATATTCCAATACTTTTTATGGAACTTTTTTTACCATAATTTTTGAGATGTTGGATTTGATGTATCTGTAATTCTGCATGTATTGTTGAATTAGTTATTTACATAGGCATGTTAAATGGACTCGCAACACTGGACAATTTTCTTTGCAACAAAATCCATGTATACAACGGCCAAAATTGCATAACAAACAACCTAGAGGATGCCCCTAATTAGTTGTTAAGTGTAGCCGAAGCCAAATTTTGTAATGATGAATCCATATCTTCCACATTTCGAAAATGCATTTCAAATCTACTCTCCAATCAATTAGACATTCTTTTTAATTTGGTGTTCTAATGAGGAAAATTTACCATTCTTCAATCATTACAAAAAGCATCACACTCAGACTTGCAAACACGATTTTTTGAAAGCTAACTGTCATACTTAAAGTAATTTTATGGTATAAGATCTACTCTTCTTATGTTATATGGGTACATGATAAGAGCGCAAAAAAGTGTGAACCTACTATAAACACTTGATATACAAATGGTGTATACTTGATATACAAGGTTTGAACTTTGGGCAAAATGCCCGAATAACCTCAAATTATTATAAAATTCAACTTTTAGCTCTTTAACTATTAACTGATAAGTTTTAGCTCTTCAATTAATTAGAGCATATAATCCTAACCCTTCTGTCAACTTGAGTCATTGTGTCAAACAGAAACGTTTATTGATAAAGAATTCAGGATGTGCTCAACCAACCTATTGTTTAACAAATCAAGAAAGTTTAGATGTAGCGATGTAAGTTTGGAGGAATCTCACCAGAGAATTGATTATTTGAGAGATTTATAAAATTCAACCTTGGAAGAGAACCAAGGCTTGTTAGAATATTTCCAGAAATTGAATTGTATGCCAAATTCATGTCATTAAGAGAAGTATATGAA